CAGCATCCAAGGCAGTCTGTACCAAGATACGATCTCTCAAGGGCTTTGGTGTACCTCTTGTGGTTGTAGGTTCCATAGCTTCTCTCTTGGGCCTGTTCTGCTCCCTCCTTACAGTTTTCCTCAGATGATCCACATTCCTGGCTTCTCCAAATTTCTGGGGTCTCCATTGCACCTTTGGCTTCACATTCAGTTTCACACGCTACTCTCTCAGGCACACTGCCTGACTTCCCAGGCCTCTTCTAAAATCTGGCTGGAAACCTTCCTAAATCTGTAACTCTCGTGTTCTGCACACACCTAACCTAGCATAATGCAGATGATGCCAAAATCTGCGGCCACCTGGAGCAGTAACCAGGCTTTCCTCTCTGTTGGCTGAAGAGTTTGAGTGTCTGGATTGATGAGTATTCTGAATCCAGTTCCAAGGAACATATTCTCTAGGCCACCACCATTCTGGAACATGGTGTGGCTGCCACTCCTCTGCCATGAGCCCGAATTTCTTCTGCCAGATAAATTAGTCTGCCGTCCTTAATCTCAAACTCAGGAAAAGTTTCTGAATACAAGCAAAATGCAAACAAACTTTCTGCCAAGGTATAGCATACATTCTCTGGAATCCAACAACCAATTCAGTCCTTCTTCCCAGCAGAAACCTCCTGAGCCTGGTCTTTACCAGCAGGATTTCTGTCAGCCTTCTAGTGTTCTGAACCCTGACTAGAATCTCACATACAGAACAGCCTAAGGTGTCCCAGCTCTGCATATCCAAACCTTTCTACGTTCTTCCCACAAGCCATTCCCAAAGGCTGAACCACATAGCCAGGTACAATCACAGCAATGATCCTACTCTCAGTTACAATTTTTGTCTTAGTTACTTAGTACCCTTAATACTAGCATTGCATTATGAATCAATCACACATTCTAGATTCAGCCACCTCTGAAAAAATCCCATTTAAAATTACATAAGGCTTTGAGGGGATATCTGGACACAAACCATAATAGGCTGTTTTGTTTGACAACTTTAATGAAAGCCCAGGGTATGATAGTAAAATAAAATTCAATGAGAGTAGTTCTGTGAGTTACCAAACGATCTAAATTTATAGTTTTCTAATAGTTCTTTTAGTACCTAGAGTAGAAAACTTCTGTGTTCATTAAATAATCTATCCATTTTTCAAGTGGACTTTTGATAGGTCTTAAATAACAGAAAAGTTAGGCTTATATATTCTTATTTGTGCCTAGCATGATAAAAATTCAGTGTCTTGAGAGAAAAAGCATGGATTTAGCAATAAGATAACTGGCTAATCATGTTGATAGTCCACTGTAGAAATTAGAGGCCTGAGCCAGATTCCTTAACAATGCATTGTCCATCTCTGCACAGAAGTAAAGTGATAAAAGGATTATTAACTTTATTTGAGGTTTCTACATTACTCAGCTGAATGTTTTAAACACTCATTGTGAAACATTTCTCATATTAGCAAATCATGCTTGTATATCATAATGAACAATTTCAAGGTATTTATTCTCTAGTAACCATAGGCTAGTGTAGTACACTAATCATAGACTATTGTACACTAACCAGAGACTTTTGTAGTACAGTATCACCAGTGCCACCCACCTAGACAAAGTGATATTCAAGAACAGCCCTGAAAGATGGTATAATCTAAAGATGAAAAATCAAGAATGAGAAAATATAAAATATAAAAGTCTTCAATATATGTATAGGTTATATTCCATATTCTAAAAGTCTAATTTTAAACATAGCTGAGTAGAAGAGCCATGTTGGAGTTACTGAGAGAAAATCATGTAAAAACAATCCAGAAAATCATCAAAAAGATTATACACCAGACCAAATGGGATTCATCCCAGGGATTCAAGAATGGTGCAACATAAATAAATGTAATGTGCCATATCAAGTGCCAGGGACAATAACATAATCACCTCAATAGATGCAGAAAGAGCATTTGACAAACTCTGACATTCACTTATGATTTAAAAAACCCTATAGAATATTGGAATAGGTAGTCTTTATATCAGTCTGATAAAGCCATCTTATGATGAGCCAACATCATACTAAATGAACAAAAATGGAAAGCTTTTCAGTCTAAAAGTAACAACAGGCATAAGGCAAGGATGTCTACTACCACCACTCTTATTCAACATAATTCTGCAAACTTTATCCAGAGCAATTAGAAAAGAGAAAGAAAAATGAGTAAGGACAGGAAAGGAAGAAGTTAAATTATCATTATTTGCAGATGATATTATACTGTATGTAGAATTCCCCAAAACTCCACCAAGACTTCCAGATCTAATAATAAGATACAAAGTCAACACCCAAAAATCAGTATTATTTTTGCACACAAATAACAAACTCATAAATTTGTTTTAAAAAATCAAAAACAATACCTAGGAATCAATCTAGTGAAGGAAATAAAAGATCTTTACATTGAAAACTGTACAGTATTCTGAAAAATGAGATTGGAGAAGATATCAGAAAATGGAGAGAGATCCGTTATTCTTGGGTAGGAAGAGCCAACATAGTAAAAATGGCAATACTCCCAAAATTGTTGTACTAATTTAATACTGTCCTGATCAAAATACCAATAGCGTATCTTACAGAAAATCTGAAAATTCATTTGGAACCAGAAGAGACCTACAATAACAAAAGCAATTCTGGGCTACCAAGGGAAGGCAGGAAGCATCACAGTCTCAGACTTGAAATTATACTACAAAGCTACTGGCAAAAGAAAAACAAAAGCCAAAAAAAAACAGTAACAAAAGAAACTACCATAGAATCACTGGAACAGATTAGAAGATACAGAAACAACTCCAAACACACTGAACGACTTTATCTTTACAGGGGGGCCAAACAACTTTAATGAAGAAAGATAGGCTCTTTAATAAATCGTGCTAGAAAAACTGGCTTTTGTCATGCCGAAGATTGAAACAAGATCCATTATCTTTTACCTTGCACTAGACTAAGATGAAAATGGATCAAAGAGCTAAATGTTAAACAGAAAAACTGAATCTGCTGGGAGATAGAATAGGTGGAACTCTGGAAGATGGTAGATATAGGCAAAGAGTTTATGAACAAAACTCCAATTGCACAGGAAATACTACAAAAAATCTATAATTGGGATCTTGTCGTCATATAAAAGTTTTGCACACCAATAGTGAAGTGACAACCCACAGAGTGGAAAAAAAATTTACTGGCTGTTCCTCAAAGGATTAATATCTAGAATATATAAAGATCTCAAGAAAATGAGACACTCTGCTGCCGCCAATTTAAAGAGCCAGTCCAAAAACAGGCATCTGAAATGAATATAGATTTCTCAGATGAAGAAGCACAAACAGCAAATAAATATATGAAAAAGTGTTCAGCATCAGTGGTCATTCAAGAGATGTAAATTAAAACAATGCTAAGACTCCATCTCACTCCAGAAAAATAATGGCTTTTACAAAGAAATCAATAGCAAATGCTAGCGGGGCTATGGTGAAAAAGGAACTCTTTTCCATTGGTGGGAGTGTAGACTGATGCAAACAATGTGGAAATACCCAAAAGTTAGGACTAGTGGTCCCATTCAGCTAGCTATTGACCATCTTGGTATCTTCCCAAAACAAAAACATCATAGCAGCGTCTACACACCCATATTTATTCATAGCAGCACCATTTCTAATAGCTAAATCTTGGAACAACCCAAATGCCCATCAAGCAAAGAATGGATAAAGAAGACATGGATTTTTTACACTTTATGGTCAGCCATAAAGAAAGATAAAATTTGTGACATTTCTAGGTAAATGACTGCACCTTAAGACCATACTCTTAAGTGAAAGAAATCAGACACACGTAGATATTGTATTGTTTCCTGGTGCAAGAAACTGAAAAATATATATATATGTAAGACCAAAACATGTAGTAGATACTGTGAAATAAGAAAATGTTCAGTTGGAAAGAGAAACTAGAGAGAGGAGATGGAGAAAAGAAAGGAAAAATAATAAAAACAACAAAAGGAAAAAATGGAAACAAAGCTTTTATAAATGAGGAGGGGAAGAGGGGTTGAAAGAAAGGAATGAGAAAGAAAAATCAACATATATCATATAGAGCCTGGGTGAGCAACATAGCAAGACCCTGTCTCAAAAAGACAGGTACAGATTCCCTATGATGCATGTGATCGTTATGTGTATCTACAATGTATCAGTAAACTAAAATAAAAATCTTAAGTTTCTTATAATTTATAATATACTTTCCTTAGATGTTACGTGATAGATTTCTGTCCCATAAACCCTATTAAATTTTAAGTGGGGTATTACTAATGTTGCATTGCCACATAAAATGATTTATTATCATTTATGGGAGAAAGATAGAATTATAATCCCATCTCATCATTCCTGAATAGCATTGAGCCTGGAAATTAGTAAAACCAAGAAATACCACTCTTAACTTTGCCATCAGCCATCGCTCTTGACTGAAGGCAATGTCAAGAGTGAAGTGAGAAAAAAGGCTTCTGCTGGCAGTGAAGAGAGTGTTCTAGAATAGTAGGGTCTGTAGTTAGAACAGGGGAAGGGATATAGAAATGGTAAAGAGAACAGAAAAATCCCCAGTACTTACAGGAAAGGAAAGGAATTCATTTTGTGTCCTGTATGGTCATGTAGCAAATATCCCCAGATAATGGAGTATGGATTTTCAAAAGTAAAAGATGTATGAGATATAAAAAATTATGGTGGTGTGTAAATTTTTTAAACTATTGCAGTAAAAGATACATTGCTATTTCCCCCCCTCCCCCCTGTTACTTTAAGCATAACCCATCATTCTTGCTATTTTCTGAAGCAGTTTTAGAAGTTGTCTTTCTTTCTTGAGTGTCTTCAGTTATGCTGTCAGGGCAACCTTGATGTCCTGATTAATTCAAAGCATTTACCTTTCATGATCATTTTGACTTTGGGGAAAAAAGAGCCAAAAGTCGCAGTGTATCATCCAAGTTAATAACATGGATGAGGACTTACTGTGTTTTTTCAAGCAAACCTTTCTCTTGGATATCGATTGGCAACAGCATTCATCGTACCAGTGTTTGTACCTCATAAAAGTACTCAGAAGGACAGAACTGTTTCACAAAGTGACAGGAATGGTAAGTCTGTTTGAAGTAAGTGATAGTATTTTGAGGGGGCTTAATGACAATATGTCTTTTACTGTAATAACTTTTATTTAAATATACAGCATATTTTTTGATCAAACTTTGTAATAATAGCTGTGGCCAGGACACAAGTGTCTTCCTGGCAAGCACAAGGTCCTGAATTGAATTCCCAGTAACAACAACAAAAAAAGACAGGTTCTTCCTTTGTTGCCCAGGGTAGCCTAAAACTTGTGATGCCTCAGCCTTCTGTAATAATATCTGTAATTCTTTGATGAATCTTGGGAATTCTCCATTATGATAAAAGAAAGAACAGAGTAGTTTCCGAAATACTCCTTTTTGTGGTTGTACTTTTCAAATCTAGTGGGTGGTAGCTAGATTTCTAACATTCCATGTATAGGGTATATTGATTTGATAGGAATTTTGAGGCAACATAATAAAAGAAGTGAAGGGAACAGTCTAATGCCCACCAATAAAACACTAGAATCTTAAAAATCAGATTCTCCATTAGGAAACTCTTCTCACGGAATTCTTGAAAAATTTGTTTGAATTTATATTCACTATACATTGTCGGTATTTTTTTTGGAATAATAGTCTCTCTTACTTATTTATTATTGATATTTATTGAAGGCACCAAAAGTTTTATTATCTTAATTTTGTAATTTTGTGGTATAGTTTTTAAGTTGTTTTCTGTGTTATCCTTACACAAATTATACTCTAGTGAGCTTGTGTTACAAAAACAACAATCCATCTTTGGAGTTACGGATGTTGTTCCTTAGAATTTTCTCTCATTTCAAGAATTTGAGAAAAGACTTGTAGATATTAAATCTGTCGATAGCCAGTGTGGTAGCTGTGAGTTCAAGGCCAGCCTGGGCAATAAAGTGAGTTCAAGGCCAGCCTGATCTGCATAGTGAAACCCAGTCTCAGACACACACACAAAAAAGCAACTTCAAAATGATCAAATGTGTACTAATCAACAAATGTACTGTCTTCCATAAAGCATATGCAAAGAAAACAATAAATTGTTCGTGAGGAAAGCATGATTTTCACCTACTGTTTATCTGTACTGTAATTGGAGTATGACCAGCATTTCAATCTCAACTTCTACTATGGTAACCTTGAATAAATTGATGGTTCTTTGTGTCTGTTTTGTTATCCTTGAAATGAGACTAATAATTCCTAGGTATTTGAAAAATTAAATGAGATAATGTAAGATAGTAGTTTATAAATTTTGTTCTTTCTACAGAAACAATTGATGGATCATTTGTATCTTTTTTTTTTTTTTTTTAAGGTTCTTGAGAAGGTTTGGTATAAGCCATCCTGAGGTTCTCTATTTAAAATTTTTGAGAACTGTCCCTTTAAGTAAAGTGCTTTGTACATGGTAGGTGCTGGCTGACTTATTCAAGCTAGACAATTTGTACTCAGATACCTTTCCTCTTAGATTTTGCTTCTTTGTAATCAGTGTCGTGACGTCATCACTTTTATGTAACAGCTTTATTGAGAATACAATTCATGTGTCATATAGATAGTGCACTTTTTAAAAGTATATAATTCAGTGGTTTTTATTGCATTCACAGTTGTTACAATCACAGTCAAAATAATTTTAGGAACTTTTTGCATCTCAAAAAATAAAACCCTGCCCATAAAATTGCTTTTGGACTCAATTTGCATTGTTGCTTAGAAATAGAAGTTAATACATTAAGAAAGGAAAACTAAGTCAAATGTGTATACCTACAGGTGGACCATATTTTTTCACTGATATATATATAATTATCATAGTCAGTAAAGTCTACCATGGCATTTAGTGTAATTTATTTAATATCTGGAGTTTTTAAAAATATTTTCACCTCTAGAAATTCAATCTAGTTTCTTGCTTTTAAAATCACTTCTAGGTTGCTCTTAGCTTCAAATTCAATAAACTCAAGTACCTGCTATGATCCAGGTACTACATTAAACCCCTGGGGTTAAGCAGTTAATTAGATTCTAAAGATTCTAAAGAGTTTATAATTTTAAGGGAGTGATATATAAACATAGGACTTATATAATGTGGCCATTTTTATTATGGAGAGCTATATAAAATGCTTTTAGTACACAGATAAGGGAATAATGAGTTCTGGTTAAGGAGACTGGGGGAAGAGACAGGAAAGGAAGAAAGCAGACACATTTCAAAGAACGTAGACATTGGAAATGAGTAACATTCATTGATTACATGATTAGAGGAGGAATATTATCTTCAGAAGCAAACAAAATAACCTAAATTAAAGGAACACCTAGTGCTTACAAAATATTGGAGTTTTTTGATAGGGCTAGAGGTAACTGAACCTAGTAAATAATTCTGGAATAGGAAAGGTTAACTGGGCTAGATTGTGAAGATCCTAAAAGTGAGCTTAATACCATGTTTTATTGTCTCCGTCATTCCTGACTTCAATGTAAAGAACAACTTTTCCAATTTAATATTCTCATTAATATGATTCCTACTATCATTTTAGTTCCCTATGAGTTTTATTAGACTTCTTATACTTCTGTACTTTCTATGTCCTTTCTTATCTTTTATATCTCTTTTGTCCATTTTAATATTTTTAAGATTTTATCACATGTAGGACTTTACTCCTTACCTATTTTAATATTCAGAATTGCTTTATTAAGTAGCTAAAATAGTTCCACTGTACCTACATTAATCAGCTTTCCCTTTGCTGGACATAATTCTCAATACCCACAATTTAAAGGTGGAGAATTTTAATTTGACTAATGGTTTCAGGAGATTCTGTCTGGTCACCTGGCTGTAAGGCAGAAACATCATGGCAAATGGACATAGCAAGGCAAAGATAATTAGTCCATAGTGGCCAGGAAGTAAATAAGGGCAACAGTGCCAGAGAAGAAGGAGGAGAGAACCAGATAAGAGACCCCAAGGCCATGCCTTAATGCCCTCCTCGGATGCTCTAGAAGTATGCTTTACTAACCCCTGAGTAACCCCAGACCAATCAAGTTGACAAAATTAAGGTTAATTAGCAGTTCCTTGTGAACATGGCTCCTTAACCTTTTGGAGTTGATATCACAGTTGGTATGATAGATGCGAGCAAATTCTTTTTTTTTTTTTATCAGTACCAGGGATCGAACTCATGACTGCCTGCTTGCAAGGGAGGTGCTTATGCCGCTGAGCTAAATCCCCAGCCCAAGCAAATTCTTGTTACATGTTGTTAAAGGGTAACACCTGACCCTTTACTTTCACAGAGTTAAATACTTATCAAATAAAGACAATAGCAAATTCTTAAGTCTACCTAACATGTTTGTACTGTCTTGTGTATAACCAAAAATATAATAATCCTTTCCAAATGTCTTCACAGTCCTAGAATTGCTACAAAAAGCCCAATCAAAGTCTTTTGAAACTCAAGGCAATCTCTTAGCTGTGAATCCCTTTAAAAGTCAAAAACAAGTTGTATAATCCCAAGATACAGGGCACCAGGGTTATCATTCCCATTTCAGAAGAAAGAAAAAGGGATAGGTAGAAATAGAATCAAAGGAAGACTAAAATTAAGGAAAACAAACATTAGGTCCTATAGATCTGTATCTGGCATCCAGGGCACATGGAGATGAGAGCTCCTCAGGACTTGGGCCCACGTACCCCTTTGACCTTGGCTCTCCTAAGGCAGGAGCTTTCCTGTATACATGTTCCAGGTTCCTGGTATTTTCACTATACTTTTGGATTCAGTCCCATAGCTATATTCACTACATTCTCAGGGGCTCCTTGCCTGGCTGTCCAAGCCACCTTCAAAATCTAGGTGGAAACGTTTGACTCCACAATTATTACATTCTGCATGCCAATAAAATCAGCCTCATGTGATGTCAACCAGTATGGGCAGTGGCCGGGCCTCCTTGGATCCTGGCCACAGCAACCTGTGAGTGTCTGGATAATTGAGCACAGTGAAATGAACCTCAGGAACAAATTCCTTGCTTCTGTTGATCAGGGGTCCTAGGGACTGTCAAATGAACAGTTTATACATTTGTATCCTTGAGCCTTCGAGAGATGAGATCAGGGGTCCTAGGGACTGTCAAATGAGCAGTATATACATTTGTATCCTTGAGCCTTCAAGAGATGAGATCATACTGATTTTTAAAATGTCCTCAACAAAGTCATCTTATGCCCTGTAAAAGAAGAAAGTACTTGGTTTCTTTTTAATGTTGCTAATCTCTTCAGCAACGATATTCTTGACCCATCTTTATACATGATTCTTTCTGGCCCCAAATTTAAGTTAATCAGATTTTTCTATTTTTGCTGCCAGTTTTTACTATAAAACCAGCTAAAAGTAAGCCAGGGTATCCATGTTACACCCTGAACATAGAGCTACATGAAATTTCATCCACTTTCTTTAATCTCAGTCTCCTGAAAAGTCCCAGCATGTAGACAAAACTTGGATTTTCTGCCCAAGTGCACCACATGTAGTTTCCAGTCCAACTACCAGTAGAGTGCTTTTCCTTGGCCTTCACTGTTGGTGTTCTATCTGCATTCTCATCTTCTGAGCTCTGACCAGAATCATGCACCAGACTCTGTTTACAGCTTTCTAGGATTTCTCTAGCTCCTATCTCCAGACCTTTCCAAATTTCTCCTATAAACCAGTTCCCAAGGCTTCTAAACCATATAGGCATGTCAATAGCCCAGCTTCTCCTGTAGGAATTTTCTGGTAGTAAACTTTACTGTTGTTAAACACAATACTGAGTGCTCAAAGCTTGAGGTTTAATTTGCCTGTGGTTTCCTACGACTATTTAAATGATCAACTGGTGCTAAGAAAGAAACTTCAGGGTAGGTGGGCCTGACAGAGTAGAGATGCTTAGTTCAAGATGGGGAGGAAGCAGAGTGGGGCAACAGTGCTGGAGGAGAAGTGAGGGACCAGATACTATAAACCTCGAGGTCATATCTCCATAACCCACGCAGACACAGCCAAAAGCGTGCTTCACCAACCTTAGGAGATCCCAGGTCAGTCAAGGTGACACAGTGAAACTTAACCATCACAATTCCTAGATCAAGAAGTCTGAAGAATGTAAAGGGCTGGGAATTTGATAATGGATTTGCTTCATTAGATTTTTATCAAGATTTTAGTGGCAAGAAAATTCTGTTGTCTGTATTTCTGCTTGAAATGAAAGGGCAAAGGAAGTGGAAGGTTGTTAAAATATATGTTCTGTTTGCTCATATTTATGAACTGGAAGTATAGAATAAAATAAATGTCTATTGGAGCAGGTAGAATTGGGGTAGAAAAGATTGGTGAGAGCTGAGATTTCTCAATATATACCTTTTCATGTTGTTCCTATTTTTGAACTATCTGAATATTTCATCTATCAATCTGTAGCCTAATGGCCTCTGCAATTAAGAGTACTATGATTATTTCTGTTGTCCATGTGTGAAATACATTCATTAGTCCACTATTTAAATGTCTATCCTCCTGTGTGCCTTGGTACAATTTGTTTGACTGAAATGGACATGTCTTTGTCTCCAGATCATTTTCAGAATTCGTCACTTCCTCCATAATTATTTGTCATCTTAGCAGAATGTATTTATTTTCCATATTTATATTTTATGTTATTGCTAAGTATCCATATTCATGTTATGAATTGTTTCTATTCTGCCTTTAATTGTTAATGCCTTCAAGTTAGAAAGAAATGCATTTTCTCTTCTGTAGTACTAAATAGAATTTAATAAATATTTGAAAACTTTTATTTACTCTGGCGCAGTGATTGCAAACCTTTTAGAACTTTGAAGAATAACAAATAGCCTAGTGCAGCATGTGTGCCATGAATTCGCCAATATTGCTCTGGAGGATTCTAATGCAGTATTTAATTTGGATAATCTTAATCACCAAGGTTTTAAATTAGTGGAAATACCTTTTTTTAAGCAGTAGCAAAGTTTATTTGAAGAAGTAAAAGTGAGCAGTGAGAGAGAAACGAGCTACAGATCAAGCTTGGTTGAAGAAAGGAAAAAAAAAAATAAGATAAAAGTACACCTTGGAGGAAGGGGGCAGGAAAACCACAGTAGCCAGTAAAGATCCTGTATAGAAAAATTTTACTACTTTTCCATTATGTAAAACTTTAGTGTACTACAATGGAGAATTAGAAGAGTTTTATTTAAGGTAAAAGCGTTGAAAATAAATTAAGCTGACTTCTGGCAGTTAAGGTAAAAACAAAAATGTGAGTTTGAACACTCAAAGAAATACACATAACATGATCCCTTGACTAATTTGCATGGAGTACAATTTGATTTGTGTTCTAATTGTGAACTGTGTGTTTTTTATTTTTACTAATATATATGAGACATGCAAAGTTTGTTCTGTTGTGGGGGAAAAAAGGTAACATACTACTTCGGTTGTTTTGTTTTATACATTAAGTACATGATCAAAAGTGAGAAACTAAATTCTACTAGGAAATAAGCATTTATTTTTAAAATTGATCATAGAAAATAAAAATTTTAAGCACTTAGTATATTTTTATTAATATCGTCCCATCTAATGTTTATTTTGAAATAGGCAAGGAAGCTGGATGTATATTTTGAATATGAAGAAAAGATAATGAGCAAAACTACTCTGGATAAATCTCTCCTAGATATAATATCAGACCCTGATGGTATGTACTATAAACGTGAGGTTAACATAAGTATCCATCTGATGAGTCCAGCATTTTAAATGTTAGCATAATTTAAGAAGAAATAGTTTTTCAGTACCAATACCAAGGTAATAAAATCAGCTCTTTTCTGCTGACAATTTTTCGATATAGGAGTCCCTCAAGTAGAAGATGATTTGCATTATATTTCACTAAACTTTTCAGTGTCTCATGATGTTTTCTGAGTACTCTGGTTTACCCAGAGTATTTCCAAAAAATAAGCATCTAAAATCAAGTTGTATTTTACATATCTAAGAAGTTCACTTTTAAGAGACCCTATAATTAATCCCTTTGTATTTATACAGAATTTCTTAAAGCAAAACATATTTCAATTAGAAATTGTAATTATAGCTTTTAATTATAATGATACTGGGATCTATATAGTGATTTAGTACCTAAAATTCTTAATTGTAGAGACTTTTCAATCATTTCAGAATACTTTTAAATACAAATCTCAGTTTTCCAAGATGAATAAAAGGCCTAGGACCCATTTTGCATACACGCTATTCACACTGAACAGGATAACTAATGCAAAAGTATTCTGGCTGGAACACAAAAAATTAGGGCCAAGGAAATGGAAAAATACTAGGAAGCTTGTGGAGAGGCAGGAACTCAGGAAAGCACCCCTGTACTGTTGTTTATGAATTTCTTGGCTCATCTGTGAACTGCATATGCATAATCTGATCCTAAAGAACATTCCACAGACTGAAGTGAAAGTCTAAACTACTTCCCAGTTGCAGATCATCGACTGTACAATGGTTTGGATCCCAAAAGCACTAAAAAGGGGTTTGAAAATAGAATTGATGAAAGCAAAACCCAGAAAAAGATGGTAGGAACCAGACAGAATAAAACAAAGTTATCAGCATTCTCCTAGGATTTATAAAAAACCTTGAGTCTCGTAACTTCATATTCAGAATGTTCTGAATATAGTATTCATTTGTAACATAAGAACTTGGGGGAACCTGCTGTTGATCTTTATTTTACCATACTTAACAGAGAAAACTTAAGTTGAAGAGTGTGTGGACTCCAAATCTTATGAAACATTAATACTTTACTAGTCATGCTTTGAAAAATATTTCCTAGCTTTATTCTGATGTGTATCAGAATAAAGCTAGGAATATATATATATATATATATATATATATCAGAATACACACACATACCTAGTAGCCTATGTATTCTGATATATATATCAGAATAAAGCTAGGAAATTATATATACAGATATATATATGTGTGTATATATATATATAAAATAGTTGAGTCCTTACATCTTAAGACTTTGCAGTGATGATAAATAGTTTCACTTGTTCACATCAGTACTTTACTTTTCTACCAAAGTGTATCCTGTAGAAGGAAGAAAGAATAAATGAGTTTCTCTGACAGTTTGGGCTTTGAGTTATAGAAACAGTAGCTCAAAGTACTTGCTACAAGAAATTTATTTGAAATTTTACATTTTATCTTAAAGCATGAGGCAAATATATTTTACTGTATAATATGGGTTATTTTATTTTATGTAAAAGTGTGATTTTTCCCAAATCTTGAAGCAATGTAAGACCCTTCAGAGGACCTGTATTTAGGAACTCTTGTGAGGGGCTACCACTTTAGGCTTATTTAGATAATCTTATTTAACCATAAGTTTTATAATCGTATACCTAGGGTGACCATACAGCTGATTCTCCATATATTCCCATATTTATTACCAGTTGTCCTTATATAATTGTAACCAACAGCTACTTGCCATCTCAGAAATGTCCTGTTTTAGCACTGTCATTGCCTTACTATATCCTTTCTGTTCTTTGGAGCTTATATCTAAAAGTTAAATCTATTCCAGACAGTTTGGGTTATACAATAGAGGTGTTTGCATAATCACAGCCTCTAGTCCCTTAGTTAATCTTTTCCCATATTTATATACTATTATAATTATAGTACTTATTACCTGTTAAATGAAGAACTATTATTTTGTTCTGTCACATTTATATATACCTTGAATATTAATGAACGTGTAAATGTTAACTACAATATGTAAGATTACGATTACGAAAAGATTTTTTGTTTGTTTGTTTTTAATGCTTTCTCCTATGTAGCAGGAACTCCAGAAGACAAAATGAGGCTGTTTCTTATCTATTACATAAGCACACAGCAAGTACCTTCTGAGGTATGAGCTTTTTGAAGTTGTTAGAAGAAAGAGTAAATGTATATTTGCAAAATTACTACAGGTAGAATTTCAGAAGTTGAAGTAAAATATCACTATGGCTTAATGTCTACTTCATTCCTGCCTTTAAAGGAAAAACAGTTTGTTACGGCTAATTCTATTTATTGCTGAGTTTTATAGCAGTATTTATTTCTGGAAAATAACTATTCTAAACTAAGTTAACCATATTTGCTAAGGCTTTTTGAAAGCTTGGACTTACCAATTTAATGTTGTTTGAAAACTAATGTTCACTATAGAAGTATCAGCTGTTTTCTAAAGGACAGTGATGATTTTGGTGTCAGATTGGATTATTAACTCTTATTTTATTTAGCTTAGTGTAATTTATAGATGATCATATAGAATGACTTGGATGCTTAAGTTCCTTTTCTTTGTTGGTAGCATTTATTAAAGTCTGATAAATTGTAAGGTTCTGTTTGTCAAAAATCTTGAGCATGTTAAAATAGCAAACTAAATGTAAAGTGTCTGCTCTAGGGCATTCTGCTTTACTGTAGAAATACACACATTTCTTGATGTAGAATTGCGATTTTCATTTTTAGAAATACATTTTAGAAAGAACATCAATGAGGTTTTACTTACATGTAAGGAAATTCTAATAGCCTATGTATAATGTTTTAAGAATATATTGTTTAAAAACTTAATTTAATATTCCCTTACTGTGATTACATTATTTTCATTTATTTTTGGTAATGATTATACCTGTTCATAAACTTCAGTAATGACTAAGAAGCATGAAGCAAATTATGACTACTAATAACAGATTAACAGCCCTAAAAATGCAAAGTAATGAAAATTTCTGGTTGAAAGTGAGCTTTAAAATTTCTCTGATACCATTTGCATAATGGAGTCACTGGGAGAATAGGCTCCTTTAATTTACATAAGTTCATGTAGATTTACTTATCAGAAAATTTTAAACATAAGGAAAAGAGAAAAAAATAATTTAAAAAGCATAGAACATTTGATCCCCAACAGCACCAAAAAAAAAAAAAAAAAAAAATCAAAACCCACAAATGTGAGACAGCTGTTGTTCAGTTAATGAATGTGGACTGAATGGTAGAAGGAAACATAAATCTGTAATTCTTTCAGTTCATGTAATTCTCCTGATAATATTAGTTTTGAAAGATGCTTGCTTAAACCAAATCATTTGGTGTTTGTCCCAAAGTATATCAGTCTTATTTCAGCAGTAGAGCAAACACTGACTATCGAACTTAGGGGATGACAGAGTACTGCACTTTTAATTTTAGAGCCTATTGAAAAATAATTTTTAATGTATGTAATTTTTGTCGCAGATCCTCCATTGAGTGTCATTTAAGATTCAACTCCACTCTACTTGGGTACATAAAATTTAAATTCATGCCTTAGTATAACTTTATTTTTGTGCTCCAATTTTTTGATTAGTCAAATGACAGCTGTCTTTTATGAAAGTTTAATCATTTATCACTTAATTCTTTTCTTATTTCAGGCGGATTTGGAGCAATATAAAAAAGCATTAACAGATGCAGGATGCAACCTTAATCCTTTACAATATATCAAACAATGGAAGTAAGTTCATTTTCTTCTTTAATTCCTGTTATTTAAGATAAGGGCACAACTGAGGTTTTATTTCCCACAAAATGGAATGCTAATCAGGAAACTGAACAATGGAAGGGTGAATTTTTTATACACAGTGGCATAAATTTTTCCTTATCTGATCCACCCTATGGACAGTGTAAACTATGATGCCTTTCTTCTTAGACAAATTTTATATTTTCTCCACTGATAATGGAAAAAGTCAAGTCATGAAACATTTTTGATCAGATGTCTAAAACACTTTAAAAATTTTTTTTATTTCCTTGTTCCCTGGGTTAAATGTAGATTAATATACCAAAATTTACAGAATACTCTCCCAAGGAAGGTTAATTGATACATTCATACTCTGCTATTAGAAATATAAATCTGGTAGATGGTATAAGAAGTTTCTTCAAAATAGCTTTGACACAAAAGGATGCAGAAGAGTCAAAACAGTCCTGAACAAAAAGAATAATGCTGAATGAATCATGGTATCTGATTTCAAAATATATACAAAGCCATAGTAACAAAAACAGCATGGTATTAGCACAAAAATAGACAGAGATAAATGGAATAGAATAGAGAACACAGAAGCCCACACAAATGGGAAAATGACAGTCTCTTTTAACAAATGATACTGGGAAAACTACCATATGCATACAAAAAGGATTGTAACTAGATCTCTGTCTTTCACTCAATATTAAAATCAATTCAGAATGAATCAAGACCAAAATATAAGACTGAAACTTTGAAACTGCTAGGAGAAAAACATAAGAGAAATGCTTGAAGTCATCAGCATAAGCAAAGACCCCCTGAAGCGGACTCTAATAACTTAGAAACTAACAGCAAGACAAAAAATGGAATTTCATCAAATTAAAATGTTCTGCACAGCAAAGGAAATAATCAGCAGACTGCAGGAACACACTACAGAATGGGAGAAAATCTTTGCCAGTTACTCTTCCAAAAGAGGAATAATACCTAGAATACATTAAGAAAAGAACTCAAGATGCTTAACACACACACACACACAAACTCAGTTAATAAATGGGAAAATAAAATGAAGAACAGACAGTTCTCAGAAAAGAAATAAATAAATAACAAAGGTCAATAAGTATATGAGAAAATATTCAGTATCTGTGCCCATTAGGGAAGTGGAAATT